TGGCAGCTCCAGCTCTCTAACTCGGTAGTTCCGACTCATTCTTCTCGGTCCACACCGTTCACAGAATACTGTGCTTCCATTAGTTATGTGTCACATTGCCTACTGTACTCTTCCAGAAGCAAAGCAGGTACACTCATGGGCACATAGCAGTTCCTAGTAGAATAATTGTGACGCGTATATAACCAACACTTCTATAGTTCTTCCTACGTGCCAGGTTCTTTTTAGGCATTCTAAAAGTATGAATTCATTGAATCCACCTAAGGGTCCTGTGCAGTAGACGCTACTATTATTCCATTTTACAGATGAAGAAACTGAGGCACAGAAAGGGGAAGTAATTTTCCCAAGGTCATGTGGTTAATAAATGACAGAGCTAGAATTTAATCTCAGATAGTCCAGGTCTGCAGGCTGTGCTCTTAACTTCTCTGGCATCCTGACTCTCTCATTGGATTCCTGCCGCCCACACCCGACCACTCCTTCCCTAACACTGAAGGCTGAGAATTTCTGAGCTCAGTCATTTTCATCAAAGTTCAGAAAGATCCCATTCTATTTTGAAAGTGGCCTGAATCAATCAAGCCTCCCATGACTCTTATTTCTTTGATCAAGATCATCTTTCTCAGATACCACTCATGTTTTACTTCCAATATACTATGTTTGTTGTCATCAAACTGTGATATATTTCACATCTCTCTAACTAGTTTGAAAATTTTCCAAAACGGACACGTTATTGACGCTCCAAATTGCTCTTCTGATTTTCCAATTTTGTTAACGTTTCCCTAATCTAAGTTCAAAGTCACTTCTGTCTCCTCTCTCCCTGCCTAATGCATATCTGCATATGATCCACTTCTAAGTTTTGGTTCTTCATGCATCCCTGATACTATTCTTAATCTCCTCCACCTTTTCTATCTACCCAGTAAGAGAGTCATTTGTTAACTGGCTCAGGATAAGCAAGCAAGGTGGTAGTGGTGGTTATATTGCTCGAGAGTCTCACTACGCTATTCCCTACTAGTGTAGGAGTCTTGGATGTGGTCTTCCCAGCTCGAATCTTTGACCCCAGGAATTCATCCTAACTCTCATTGCCAGTTTAATTTACCTAAGGAAGAGCCTCTATCTTGGCTATCCTCACCTTCCCTTCCTCCTCATCGTCTGCTGACATAAGAACTCACTCCTTAATTGGTGCCAGAAAGTCTACTCATCACACCATTGACTTCTCCTTCTGACCTCATCTCCTATTGCTCCACTGCATATGATATACCTTCTAAACAAAGCAGAACAAAAGCTACTCCCACAAAATGTTCTACGTTTTTCTACTTTTATATTCTTCCTTGTGTAATTTATTTCTCTAAACGTGCTGCCCCTCACCCTGCCCTCAACCTTTCATCCTGACACATTCCTATGACCTTTCCTTTTATTCTGTTCTGTCGCTTTTTAGACTCTCAATAGTTTGATTAATCTCTCATTCGGCCTTTTATTTGGTTACTTTGCCAGATTTGAAAATTCCTGAAGCCAGAAAAAAGACCTTCCTTAAGTCAGAAATCCTTGCAACAACAGCCAATGTCCTGCAAACAGTGTATATTAAGTAAATATATGTTGGCTTCAAACAACTGCTAACCCCTACTTGATTATATGTAGAAAATATGAGTTATTGTTCTAACATAGTCTTACCCATCATTTTGCAAGTGACATAAATCAGAGGCTAGGATGAATTAAGAAAATGCCTTCTAAGTTCTAGGCCACGTGAAGGACATGTTACGATCAGTTAAGTAGCCTCTGGTAGCAGCCGTAGAAATCCCCCCACATCTCGAATCAGTATTTACCTATATTTCCTACACATTTACTTTGCCAATCTATCATTGTTGAGCACTAAAACCTGACATCTCCGAAGCTTTGCTTCTTTTCTTATAAAACCAGGGCATATACCTACTTTACAAGATAGTTTTGGGGATTAAAGAAAATATAGATCAAATTCGATAATATGTTATTTTACAAAACATTAATTATTGCATACAGTAGGTTCTGATAACGTGTTGTTTCTTCCTCTATCACGGGTGAACATGAGCCCCTTAACCGAAGGGGCCTGGGATTCACAACTGAAGCTGCCTGCTGGAGTGGGCTGGGCACAAGAGCAGAGACCCTGAAGAATGGTCTGGGAAGCAGTGTACTCAGGGGGGGCAACCACACATAAACCACTGACCTCAGGGGAGTGTGGAGGCTCTGAGATGGACAGCTATTCACTCTTCGATAGAAAAAACTGGTTGAGTGTTGACAGGATGAAACCTCTCCACGTCCTAGAATTCTGCCTGTGGTAATTCTGATTGCATTTCAGTGATCCTCAGCGATGCCTCTGTGATCCACCTAACATACCCCCCCAGACTTTCCTCCCACCCTAACCTCTCCCCATGTGAGCCCATAATCCTGGGAAAACTGGGCCTGGAGACTGAGCAGAGCTGAGACTGCAGAGGATGAAAGAAATGGCTCCTGCCGGCCAGAGAGGAAGACTGCAAAGCCTGGGAAGCAGGCAAGATCTGAAGAAAACATCTCTGCCCTTTTTATTCATCTACACAGTCTCCAAGGCCATTTTTGTCTTGGAAGTGGGAAAAAATAAGTGATGAGAAAACATCGAATTGACAGCGACACAACAATAAAAATACGACTATGGGTTTCCAGGAAGCATTGTAGATAGAAATTTGCTCGAATTCAATCTTTCTTCCCTCTTTATTTCTTATTACTTCCTGATTTTTCTGCTTCCAGTATCTCTCTTTACCTTCTCCTTGCTCAGTAGCCCACTCTGAACCCTGTTTCTAGCATCAAGGCTTTTACATGTGTATTGTTAAACCTTCTTAATCTGAGGCAATCAAACAAAGGAAGGAAGTCACTCTCAATCAATGACAAGCTGGAGAAATAAGCGCTTTTTAAGGGAATGAAGTTTTATTACCCTTAGGAATATACTGAAACTTTTGAAAGCAGTAACAGGGCGACATTGCTCAGAAAAATGGATCGCTGCCTTAACTTTTACATAAGCACATACTGTAAATTTACTGCATGAAATAATATATGCTTTTTGCTTTTTTTGCTAAAGACCTTTACTCTTTAAATAGACTAACATTTATTTCTTTACAAATTGCTTAGCAAACATTTCTTTTTTAAAATTTGACCGTCGTGGACATTGAGATGTAAATGCAAATCTCAGTTTGTTTAAAACTTGGTGTTAATGAGGTCAAGACCACACACTAAATCTTTCCATCTGCCAATTATCTCTATTGTGTGCCCATAAATGTGTGAACAACACGCTCTGGTCATAAGAGGCACTGGAGGAGAGGATGCGGATGAATCCATCCGATATGCCTCCACATAATTGGAAAATGGCTCTGTTTTCATCAGCTCTTCATCCATGGTTAGTAGCTTCATCTTTCTTTATGAGCAACAATTATCTTAGAATTTTAATGACAATTTTAGCACCGTCGTTGTTATTTTTATAATTTATTTGTTTGGTATTTCAACTTCCTGCGATGTGGCAGTGTCACTTCAAATGAGATGAGCATTTTCTGTTTTCAGTGGTGTTTCTTGATGTATATTTATATCCTACTTGTTAAGGCTAATAATACTACGTGAGTAGATAGAATTACATCTGAACTCTGAAGGAAAAATAATGATCCATTTCAGGAGATGAGTGATTTTTACTAACTTCTCAATCCAACTCAAAGAGTGCTTTTTCTTCCTTTGATTAAAATGTATTTCTCAAGTAAATTAAAATGCAAATATAGACAGTCTGTGTTTATGGTTATAATAGAATTATTTAAAAAAGGTTTTAAATCAACCCGCTGTTAATATTTCATGCAGAAACTGTTGGTTTTATTGTTGGGCCGTGTTCCATTTTCAAGATTACTTAAAGTGCTATGAAATCTTAATTATACTACCCAGGTTTTATCAGTTTTGCCTTCTCTTCTCTAGGATATTAAATGGACTGCTTTTCTATATACCTCATAAGTTATGTTAGTGATGTTGGAGAAATACCAAGCATTAAAATGTTAAAACCTCTTGAAATTGAGTTATGAACAATTTGCTATTTGTTGTAAATAAATATTTTATTACACGAAATTGAATCAATGCTTAAATTTAAGAGAACCATATTTTATAATTTATTATGAAATTAAAGATCTGGAAAAGCACTTCGAGAAACCACTTAGTCCAACCTTTTAATTTATATTAGAAATGTAAAATATTTGTATTAGAAATTGCATCTAACGCTATGGATTTCATTATGATCCTTTTAGTATTTTTTTGAAAGGATTCTATCACATCTCGAACAAATTGATTCAAATGTATTTTAAATACTTTATAGCTTGATCTTTTTCTTTTTTTTATTATTTTTAGTGATCTCAGTGAAAACCAAATTCAGGCAGTTCCAAGGAAGGCTTTTCGTGGAGCGGTTGACATTAAAAACCTGTAAGTATTTTTTTCTTAATGTATCCTGTCTTTTTAAAGTTATTCAATTTTCAAGTTAAATTTATATTAAATAAAGTGTCATAAAAGTGGTGAAAACCCTATGTCTCTTTATGCTTCCTTAGGAGAGAGAGCTTGTAACAATGTTTTATATTGTTTTTACTGGAGAGATTCTCATTTAGGAGATGTCTTAAATCTGAACTTGTTATCAAATTCATTCTTCAAACCTTGTGATTAATCTTGTTAAATCTAAAGAAATGATTTGATTAAAGGGTATTTACAATGTATTTTCTGCCCTTTTGCTGTCAGCTTACTTCGATAACTCCCTTTTCAGTTGTTATCGGTGTTTATTGGATATGCAGAATATAAACTCTTTTTTTTTTTCTGGGAAGAGTAGATAATATTTTCTTGTTAAAGATACCTATAGCCTAGAGCTACAGCTTTTTAAAATAGCTTTGAGATCACCATTTTCATTAAATGCCAAAGTGTGAGAATGAGAAAATTATACCTTTCCTTTTGTGTGAATATTTTTTTACATCCTTTTCCCCTCATATCTTTATAAAAGAATACATGTATAACCTTCTTTAAAAAGAAAAAAAGAAAAAGGAAACCATGTTTCTGTGTTTTCCCTTGATAAATCTTTAGCATGATGTCTTGTATAGAAGTGTTTTTTGGAAGTGCACATAGCTCTGAAGGGATGTAGCAGATTTAAGATCTCAGTGACAATCCCGATATTGTCAACAGATATCTTTATACATTTTCGAACCCCACATTAGACTTTGAAATGTTGGTTTTTGATTAGCTCTGAATGCTAAGGCATAATATGTTTTCCTTAGCCTTTATATTATTTTAAAATGGGGGGAGAGAAAAGCCCCTGAGTACTGAGATTATTATCAGTAATTTAATATTTTCTTAGCTAGTAAGAAACAGGGCAGGGCCTTCTTTAAGAATTAACTTATATTTAGAATTCGCTGTGGTGGGATCCAACATTTTTACCAGTAGCAAAAGTGAGATACACATTTTCTCTTGTCAAAGGCAACTGTTTACAGAGCTATAAGTTCTGGCCCCTGAGTTTTCTCTTCAGTGTAAATGGTTTTTGTTTTAAATTTGTACTTTCTAAATGTATAAGTCAAGACAGAAAAATATAGGCTTCTGGACCTAACTTTGTAGAGCCATTAAAATCTTGGCCTTTGGTTTTCATGAGTGTTTGCATGTTCAAAGGCTTGTATTTGCTTTCTGTTTATCTTCTTTAGCTAGGGCTTGGGGAAGTCTTCAGGTAGATTCAGTGATATACAGTGTTCAAAACTGCCCCTGTGTATTGTGTCTGGTCAGAACAATATAAAGATCTGATGTAGCAGCTACTCGAGCTGCCCGTATGTCATTGTCAAAGGACAGTAATGGCCACAGTTTACCACCCTTTGGGAATGCTCTTACAATCTTACCATAGTATTATCTCTAAATCCTTAAAACAGGTGGCTTTTACCTCTTAGGAAAGATATTCAGGGAATCCAAGTCCATAAGTAATCCTTCCGCCATGTCGAAGGATACATTTGGGAATGGGATACCAGTCATAGTAGAATTCATCCTTATATCCTATTCATTTGTCTTTAAAAATGCGATTTTAAAAGTTTAGAAATAAAAAGAAAAGTGAGATGCTAGCCAGTGTGCTGTTGTGAGGAATGCAAAGTTGATTTAGCAGGATTTTAAAAAATATTTTCCCAACATGCATCATTTCCCCCACATTTAAAGGCAGTTATGTATACAGCGAGATGAGTTTAGGACTGGAGTCTCAAAATCTTTTGCTGTTTATTGGATTTCAGAGTCATGAAAAATCAGTAAACTTCATTAAGCCTTAGTTTTCACTTTTGAAATATGAATATAACAATTGCTTGGGTCTGTTGT